ATGATCGCACAGGCTGGAGTGCTTCTTTCATGTGGGTTTTGTTGCTTCTGAGCTAGATGGCTGCTTGTTTACCTTCAAGCCTTTAAGACCTCAGACGCTATACCTTTTGATAGCTGGACACCATCAGCTTTCTTCACCACATTTGCTTATGCACTCATTTGTCTTCAGCGATTGTATCGGGGAGGTGAGCACACAATGATATGATTTTTTTTTGTTCTTTGATACCTGATAACTGATCCCAACTGCTTTGTCTTCAGTAATTGTGTTGGGAAGGTAAGCATCATAGAATGCCAGTTTAATAGAACAAAGTATTCTTGCATTGAGGAAGTACTTGAGTGGAGGCCCAATACAAACAAATATTTGTAAAGCATTTTAAAGTTATATTTTTATATGCTACACACAAATATATATATATGTATGTATGTTAAGATTACATGTGCAGTTAAAACGGTGACAGCTGGAACTCAGCGGGGCTGCCTTGTGTTTTGGGGTTTAACAGGCCTTCACCTTTGTCGAGGGGCAGTCTTAGCACTTTGCTATCACTCATTTTAGTATAAAATATTTTAATGTTTCTTATTTGACTTCTGGCTTATACAAGTTTTACTGTATTTGGGTATATTTACTGTATTTGGGTGGATGTGTGTTCGTATTACCATATAACAGATTACCTCCAAATTTAGTAGCACCACACAGCAAGCTTTCATTCTCTTAGACAGTTTCTGAGGGTCAGGAATCCGGGCTCTGGTTGTCTGGCTCAGGATAGCTCATGAATGGTGCTTCTCAAACTGGGTGATATGGTTCCCTGGGGTGTTGGAAGCATCCAGGAGAGAGCAGAAGCAGACACCTACCGTTTAGCCTGGATTACGGACTGGAGTATAAAAGTGTATCATTGTCAGAGGGGCAGCAATGATTTTTTTTCTTTTGAAAAGGGGTGTAGGCCAAATAAGTTTGAGAGGCTGCTGATGAAGCCACAGCCTGACTTTTGGCTGGGACTGCAGTCATCTGAACTTCATGGGGCAGGAGGGTCAACTACTAAGCCCGCACATGTCGTACTGGGTGTTGGCAAAAGGCCTCTCAGTTCCCTGTCTTGTGAGTCTTTCCAAAGAGCTGCTCTGAGATGGTAGTTGGCATCCCCAGAGCAAAAGATCCAAGAAAAAGAGTGGAAGCAAAATGGAAGATGTAGGACTTATAGAAACCTCTTTTAGAAAGTGACACATCGT